TTCGGAATTTTGGTGCAATGGGATGCCTCTTTCTAGGGGACTAAATTCATCAATATATTATAAGTGTTTATATTTGGGCGGCGACCTCTGTTTAGTACGAAAACATAAAATAAACAAAACTCGAAACTTGAATCACTCTAATCGGATGCGCCGTTCTCTCAAAACTGCTACTTAGGCACATTGGACCAAATTAGCTCCAAGTTATATTGAGTATGTCATGATTTTATATAAAAAAACAAAAAAGTACAAAATATATCGATGTCTAATAAAATAATCGCTGAATCATAAAGTATTGAATTTTAATTAAAACTACTTAAATATTTATGGAAATGCTCTCTAGCATATTTTGCTTCGTATCACCGCTAGACCTACCTTCGCAAAAATGTAATCATTTATTGACTCAATCAATACAAATCGAATTGTGAATCTTTCTAAGCGGATCTACTGTTCTCTTAAAAACTGGTTGTTATTGCACTTTTGAGGCTGATCCTGCTTTTGCCAAAAACTAATACGAATTTAATGTTTTTCGAATTATTCAAATCAGTTGATCAATTTTTCATTCAGATGGTTATAATCTGTAATCATATTAATTCAAATATGTTGCTCACCTGTCACCCTATTACTATATATCTGTTAACTAAAAACTTATGGAGGTAGAAAGTGAATTTCTATTTTCGATTTTCTATTCCTTTGAGAAAAATTTTATTACAAGCCCTCGTATTAATTCTCGTACAGTGTAACATGTAGATATAATGATATATCTGGCTTATCATTGCCAATAATAATCTGTGCGTATTTCAATTTGCGCTTTTTATTTATGTCCTCAGTAATATATTGAATTGTTACATGGAAACGGATGTATGAGAAGATCGGCGGCCGTTTCGAATGCAATTTTTATATTTGTGGAATGCAAATCATAAATGACTTCATTCGATTCAATCAGAATTACGAATCTGGTCTTGTTTTTTTTTTATTTTTATGATTGTGGTTTAATCTTAAAAAAAAGAAATAATAATTAAATTAAATTATATGGATTAAATCTGATCATTCATTTTTCTTACTAGTTTCACCGTTTAATATTTTATAAATGAGTATATTATAAGTATTAAGTTTTATTATTAATTATTGCTATTTCTAAAGAAGAATTAGAAACTGAGCTGATTCAATAATCATAAATTACACTGTCCCATATGTAACCTGTTTCTCCTAATTTATTACCAAATAAAATTAGTGGATAATAAAATATAGTTGTTTACATTCCCAATGATCATATTCAATTTATTTTATTTTGTGTAATTCTAAAAATTTGCTCGTTTTTACTACATCTTATATTTGATAATTTATTAAATAAGAACTGAATTATATTATTTCAAATAAATAGAGAATCATTTAAAAGTTGAGCTTTCGCAAGACACTGGAGCTTTTGGAGAACCCTTGGGATTTCCAAGAATTATCTTCATGAACATTTTTAATATGGCTAAATTTTGTCAAGAAATTTCACATGTTGTAAAATATTTCATATAATATTTTGAAATAATTCATTAAAAACGCATATTGTACAAATTTACTCGTGTTGACTGGTAAACATCAGAATTTATCAATTGCACATGAAAAACATATTACGACTCGCAGACAAAAACTGCGAAAAAAAAGTTTCAAGTTCGTCTATGCCAATTTAAATCTAGTATATTTTATAAAAAAAAATACCTTACAAAATCGCCTTTTCAAATGCATACGGTTCATCTGGGCTGGTAAACTCAAACGAAACACTCTAGCAACTTTAATTACAAGTTTAAACAGCCCGAGTTTGCTCTAACGATTATGTTTTGTTAATTCCTGAGATCAACAGAAATTCTAAGTAGAAATTATATCCTGGCTTTTGAATACATTTCGTATAATTCCTACACGAAAGAAACCCAATTGAGTTTAATTATAATCGTTTCTATAACTGTTTCAGGAATTAACGATGTATTTTCGATGATTTATGTAAACACTTGTAATCTACGAAATGGATTACAACGGGATTTATTTAATATATACTATGTTGCTAGTTAGTACATGAAAATAATTTTTAATTTTTCTAACTTCCCGCAGGGTAAGTTATAGTAATAGCAAAATAATCTGAAATGAGAGCTTTTGCATATCCTTACAAGTTTCAAGACTTCTTGAATATTTTGGCATACCTTAGAAAAATTAATTGTATGTGTGTGTAGTATGTGTTTTGTATGGATACAATTTTTGTCCATGATTTCGAGATATAGGAAGAAATGTAGACAGGTAGACAGGTAAACGGGTAGACAGGTAGACAAGTACAGAGGTAAGATAGCTAAATAAGTAAACTGATTGAATAAATCTAAAAATATAACACGTCCAATATCAATATTTGCTTAGGATCAATAGAAATGCTTAAGATCGACGTAGACAATAAATGAATCATAATCTAGAACTAAATTATCATGATTTTATGATAATTTCTGATTCTGAAAATGGCTTCAAATATCACGTTATAAATAATTCTTCTTAATATATTGAACTTTAGAGTCTCTTGATTAAAAACGTGAAAGTATGATAGAAAATAGTATTAATGTATCTTCCTCAGTTCTCTGTACAGTTTATATTCCGCACACGTTCCATGAAGACTGTATAATTTTTGCATACTTCCTGATTAAAAGACCGGTTCAACTGTTTTTATATATAGGTGAAGCTTTAGTTTTAATTAAGTTCTACGAATTATGCCCCAGATACAAAGGATTGTATTCTTTTGGATTTTAATGTTGGTATATATATATATATATATATATATATATATATATATATAAGAAAAAAAATGATATGGGCAAGGCATCGGGGCAATCTTTATTTCATAACTCTAAATGGTAGTTGTATATTATGAATGAAATGAATGTTCTATTTTATGAATTTGAATGTTTTACTAGTATTCTATTTAAATTATTGCTTTTTAAATCATTCTAAATTTTTGTTTCTTAAATAATTTTGTGCACTGACGAAGCCTCAAAACTCGAAACGCATGAAAACACACTAAACATCTTTGAAACATAACTTAGTTTTTGGCTTAGTCATTTACTAGTAGTTCATAAATCATGTAAATCTCATATTATTAGTCTCTTATTGATAAAATAATCAAACATAAAATAGTTATCAATAATATATCACAGACATTCTATGTTTTGATATGCGAATCACACGTACCGGTTTGTCTGGGCAATATATCGTGAGTCGCAGAGGCGCAAAATCGCTGCAGAATACTAAATACAAAAAAATATAATCAACACTGTCAGAATGGCGATAAAATATCCTTTCAACAACTGTGTGCATATACAGCCAAGATTAAAATGAAATTTTCTTGTTTATATTTCATTTGAAGTGAATCACAACAATATTCCATTTCACGCTAGAACATCAGAAGCATATTATTGTATCAAGTTTTCATCTTAATTCTCTAACGCAAACAATTTTAATGAGATTAATCATATTTTGTTCATTCCTGCATTTCCGCATTGCATCTTTATTATTAAGCTTAAGATTTTTTATTATAATTTTGGTGATATAATGGCACGAAACGTTGGAATGCAATTAGCATTTAAAATCTATATTTTATTCATTTTTAAGGCCTTCGCAAATAACTAAACTGCTTAATTACTAAAATGTTAATACTGAAGTTTAAATATCGTGCAAATTAATTTTGGATTTACATTATGAATAAACGAAAAGAATATATAAACATATTTCTACAGAAACAAACACGAATATTCGGAACAAATATAAATGAATGAAATTAAGTTCAATAATAAATCCAAATTAGAAAATTATACATAATTGTATTTTAATGACTTTATTGCATTATATTAAATATTTATATATGTATTACTAAGCTCTTTTTGGTCGTGTAATTAATATGGCACATTTTCTCTATAAAATATTGTGAATTTTATATTGAATGGAAAAACAACTACTGAGTTGTTTTTTCCAACTTGCTCTTGCAGTATACAATGTCTCTTTTCGGCTGACTATTGTAAATTCATCAAATTTATTGAATGTCCTTTACTCGACAGTTGTAAATAAAAGAGATAATAATAATAAAAAAAAATATGGCACATTTTCTCTATCAAGAAAAACATTAAGAAAAATACAATTTTTAAAACTCTGGTGAAATTATAATAACTATTGACATAAATTTGTTAATAAAATTTCTGAATAAATCAATAATGAATAAATTAATTTATTTCTGGAAAAATATTTGAACTTCATCCCCATGATAATCAGCGTCAGTTACATTTATGTCATATGGCACATTTTCACTAACATTATTGGGCAATGGACATCCAGATAAATACAAAATTTAAAACCTCCGGTATAATTTGGACGCACGACTACAATAAATGGAATACATTCTCTTAAATATTTTATTTATCCCAATTTTCATTTTTACAGTCTCGAATAATGTCTATTGACCAGGAAAAACTGAATGATTCATTGGCTAATATACCAATTCCAGTTTGCGTAATAGCAAATGCAAGAGCTTAACTGCATTTTGCATTTTTCTGGATTTACATAATTTTACTCAAGAATGGATAGCATCTGCTTCGAATAAAATTACTGTTGAATCACACCAATGTAGTTGTCTACGGTTTTTGCTAAAAGTTGAATTATTTTTGTGGTCTTACAAATGTTATAATGTTGGAATCAAAACTATTATAGTTGCATCGTTACAGATTGTGTAACAGTGAATGGAAGTTTATGTATTTCAGATTACGTGTTCAGTGTTGTGGAAAAATAGTGATTTGGTGTTAGTGTTTAATAGGCTAGTTATTGTCAAAAAATCCTGTACTATTTTAGCCTGCAGGAATGCTTAACAAAAATCTCAAATTTCATGCATTTATTTTACTTTTAAGAACAACTTTATTTTGGTAATAAAGCCTAGATAAAATTTATAGGAAGTTTACTAACGTGGAGTAAATCGTTAAATTGAATATTTTACAATTAAATTCTACGCTTAAATATATTTTAATCATTTTCTGTCTGTTTAATGGAAACAACTACGAATCACTAAAATACACTATTAATGAATAGTGTGTGAGTTGGCCTAAAAATTTACAAAGTTCATATCTGTTTAAATTTGTGTTACAATCATGCAACACCATCCGGGATCTTGGTACCTCCCTTGGGGAGTTCCTTTACAAAAAATGGTTGCAGTACCATTGCACCAGATGCATCCTGCTGCTGCAGCAGCCGCTTTGCATCCAGCCTTACACCCTGCACTTGTCGGGTTGGCCCATGCTCCGCTTACCCTGCGCACCTTCGTCACGGGCGGTGCTGCCGGCCCGGGCGCCTGTGGTGGCGTGGGTCATCATCAGCCTCCGCATGCATCGGCGGCTGTCGCGGCAGCGGCTGCAGCAGCGGCGGCCGCTGCGGCTGCGGCTGCCGGAGGGACGGCTGGAGCAGGGAACCAGATGGGGCAGAGGATGACGACAGTCGCTAATGGAAGAAAGGTGGGTAGTAAATGATGTTTTTTTTTTAAATTTATGTTCTCTAATTAAGGAATGAAGATGATTTGAACATTGTCATCAGTATCGACGAAGTTTCATGAACTACTAGTTAAACCCATACTGGACATACACTTGATAAAACACTGCTGTGGATTTTTTACCCCAAAAGGGCTACAAATTATTTTCGGCGAAGTCAATAACTTTTGTTTCAGGTTCACAAGTTATTTATTTAATTATTGAGGACTATGATATTTTTTTCAAGGGGGAGGAGAACCTCAACCTCCCATATTTAATGAATATATTTTTTTTTTATTTCTGTCAAAGGACTCACAGATGCTTCAGGAAAGGCGTGATATGTAATGTGCCTTATTTTATAAAAATATAATATTATTGTATAGGTTTCATACCCTTGGCGCATTGCTGCTGGTTGTCAGTATAGTCATTTTTTCTTATACGAGTATTATAACTGTTAAGGCAGTTTACATTCTTGTTTTTTTTATTAGCATGGTTATTTGTACATCTTGGCATAGTATTTACCGAAATCAATGAAAATCGATTATAATCATGACAGCTTTTGGAATATTCATTTATTATACATTTACGTAGTATTTAAAAAAAATGAATAAGACGAAAAAACATGTACAATTTTTTATATCGTCACGTATGATTAAGTTGGAAATTTAGTTGCAAAAGTGAAATAGACATTTTCAATCAATTTTTCATTCTAAAAAAGTGTATTATGTGCACTTATAAAGTAATTATTAACTTATTTTTTACATATGTTAGAGCAATATTCAATTTTTTTTTATTTTAATAGAAATGATTTTCTATCCGATTTAAGTATAACAATTTTATAACCAATTGCAATTCAGCTGTAAATAACTGAACTTTTTTTTCTTAAATAATGGATAGTAGATTCGATGGTAATCGCCAAGAAATTAAAAATATTTTTTGTTATTTAGACTTTACGTTTCATAAGGGGGCGTCCATTAATCACGTGATCGATTTTTTAAGGATTTTTGAACCTTCCCTCCCTCCCCTTAGGTGTGATACGTGGTGGTATTCAAAATTATCCCCCCCTCCCCCACCAAACGGCACGTGTATTTTTAGTTACGAGGAAAAGTTCTATTATTTTTATTCTTTTGCAAATGTTTGAATTTAAAAAAAAACTGGTAAAAATAAATGCACGTGATATCTTACTATACCCCTCCCCCCACGTGATATTTTGTGATTTTTTGTCAAATGACCCCCCGCCCCTAAAAACCTCAAGTGATTATGGACGCTTCCTAATCGTCTGAACATTTTGGCATTTCTTATAAAAAAATAATGTGTATGTATGTATGTATATATGTATGTATATTTGAATGATTCAAAAAGAATTTGATTGGTATTGACGGGTACACGTGCTGGTCAGTTTTTGGCAAAGGCAGGGTTTGGGCATTTTGGAGATACGGAGCAAAAAATTAAAAAACAGCAGATTTTGAGAGTCATTTTATCTTTGCAATTCAATTTGTTATTCTTTGGTTAGACATATGAAATAAGGTCCACTAAGGCATGGTGAAATATGAGATAAAGATCTTCAATTATGAAATATGAGAAGTTCCAGCAATTTGCCTTAAAACACAATGTCACTACTTGTATAACACTTTTAGTACACTAATTATTAATTTCGATTGATTATAAAAGAAAGGCTGGTGGTGTTGAAGCTAAAATGTTATTTACCAATAGATGTTATTTTTGATTTGCATATTTATTTCTTATTTTGTGTTTAATAATGCAATGTTATGAATGCATATTAAATCCAATTCAGCTTTAGTCACCTTATATTGTAAGTTTATTCCGCGGTTCTCTTTCACACACAGTTTTGTAAGTCGTAACAAGTAGTGACGGAGAAGTTTATTAGTTAAGAATGCCATTAAATTCTTCTAACAGCGCGTACATAAAATGGCTAAAGTGTACTTTAGCTATATGTGTTTATATATAATTTACACCCCATATGACAGAAATAGCATCACATCATCTCAGAAGCGCCGCTGCGAACGGTAAGCTGAGAGCTGATAAAGATTTTTATTGAAACAGTCTATTTAATTTGTTAAATATTCATTGGATGCTTAATATAAACTATTTTTTTATATACGTTGTTTTTACAACAATCAGAACTATTATGTGTCCTATAAGCTGTACTGAACACTGCTTACTTTACTAAGACGTTTGTTATGGTCAGTGGGCAACCCATTGATTGACCTGACTCTTTCTGAAATATAGTTTTAATTTTTAATACTGAATGCTTTAAGAAGACAACCCCCTGGTCTGCGGGGTTTCGAATTCATTCATTCTAATTGGGGTATTGCAGCAACGCCGAATTTTTACTTGAAAACATATTGCTATCTATATTTCCAAGCTGCTCGAAGTGGGTGTCGAATCTGAGATCTATGAATCAAATATGAATTAATAAATTTTGTATTGCCAAAGAAATAATAACAATACAAATATTTTTGAGTTTCACATAATGTCCCGTCACATATCTAATATTTTGTTCTTTTTTAATCAAAATCTTAGTTTTACTCTGTAGCCATTAATTTGTTTCGCAATCTAGAATAATCGGCATAGTTTTAAACGATGTATATATATTCAATAGTGGTATATATTAAGAACATAAAGATCATTCTACCTTGAGATGCTTCAATGTTGTAATGGAAATACCACTTTTGCCACGATGTTACTTTTGACTTTCTTTTATTAAAATAAATATTTTAATAGCGTTATTTATGTTTGAAGAATATTGTTGTGTATTAAATATATCTTTACAATGCGTTTTTCCTGTTTTTATTATTTTCACACTTAAAATTTAATTTTAGTGCCGACTGAGAGTGAAATTTGCGTTGGGAAGCTTTTCATATGTTACATTAATATTTTGGTATTTTGTTTTATGGAACAAATATAGGTCAAGCACGATAATTCTTTCAGCGACCCATAAAAATTGTAATAATTTTTATTCCAACTAAGATGAAAAATATTATAATTTGTAAATGTATCGTTATTATTACAATGTGGGCATACCGTTTTAGGTTTTGTTAAATACCAAAAAATGCTGTTCGCAAAGGAAACTGAATCTGTTTTTTCTAAATAGGAATATGACTATTAGTTCAGTCATTATAGTAAGTTCACCTCGGAATTCAAGATACCCAGCTGTAAGTCTGTAAATACTTGTATATTGACACCCTATAGTTGTCTCAAAACCTATATATGGTAGGGTGTCAATACCCTAAAGTTGTCTCAAAATCTACATTTGGTATTGACACCTTACCATATGTAGGTTTTGAGACTCCTTTCGGTGTCAATATACAAGTATTTACAGACTTACAGCTGGGCATCTTGAATTCCGAGATTCTTACCTAATTTAAGCTTAAATAATTAATTTTAAGCTTAAAAAGTTTATATTATGTGACTAGTATAACTATAAAGGATTTTAATATATCTAAAATTCTCTGTTGAATAGCAATTATAATTTACCATTTTTTAAATATTCAGTACTATTTTTGCCAATATAAACAATACTGTTACAAGTTTTTTACTTTTATTAAAATTATTTACCAAATTATTTTAGTATATCACAAATCACCTTTCCTGTTTTTGAAATTTAATATTGTGTTAAGTCTGGCCAAAGTTTCTATTTATACACACTGATCTTCTTATTCATTTATTAACTCCAAATACACTCCTAGTTTTTATATATGATCTTAACACTTTCCACTTGCGAATTATGAGATTTATATGAATTTTGCGGCATCCGAGTCGAAAACTACTTCCTTAACTACTCTTTTGTTTTTAACTCTAAATCCCAATAGTATCGTTCATACCATATTCATACTAGCGCCAGATATTGATAGTGAATGTTTTTTATAAACAATATATCGCCTAATTAAACTATTCTTAATTAGATAAATCTATATTATTTTAAAGCTTTATGAATGAAACAATTAGTAGCTTTCGTGAAGCTTTCGCCTCAAATCACAGATGGTATAATTATACCATCACACTGCAAATTATAAATTTTTTATATCATTTTCAATAAGCCATTAATAAATTTATCGTAGTTCTTTCTTTATACGTCTGTTGTGAAACTTTTCGAGCAAAATTTCCACCAGAGTTCTAACTATAGTATGTGTCTCCGTACGCGTAAAGCAACGCAACATCGTTGTTAGCTTTTGCCACCAAGGCAAAGTTCTGACGAGAAAAGTTTTACCAAATCGTGTTCATAAAAACATGATCTCATTTCAGCTGTCATAACACGACTTTGAGCCAACACTGATTTTCTAACCCAGAATCGAGAAAGTGATTGATGGCGCTTTAGCATGCAGGTGTCGAAACACGTGAAATGTATAAGAGACAAAAGCACGCTAAAAACAAATTTTGTCGTGTTTTTTAGTTGATTAGGAATAGATTTAATTTTAAAAAAATATTTGCTAAATACACACACACACATAATATATATTAGGGTGGTCCTTAATATGGACGACCTTAATATGGTTCCTTAATATGGAATCTCCTTGCCCCTAAAAGCTCAATTGGTTCCAAATTGCTAAAAAACAATTTTCTGAAAGTATGTCTGTTCTATTTCATTAATTTAAAAATTCACAATGTTTTTGAGTCGGTTGTTAATTGATTACCAACAAGGATGAATTTAAGTGTAAAGCTTTATAAATCTTGGTAGTATCTGAGTTAATTTGGAAAGTTATAGGTAGAACAATATATATGTGGTGTATTATGTATGATTATAGTATTATATTGATACTCTGTTGAATTTGAGTCAGTTATTTTAAGAAAAGTCAGTTTGAAGCACGTGCGTTTTTGATTCTAGACATAAGACCCTTAATATTAAGCTCTTAATATTAACTTTTAGATAGTGCGCAATTCAATCAAACTTCGTATGGAAACAGCATGAAAAAAAATGTGAAAATCAAAAAAAAATTTTTTTTTAACTTTTTTACACAACCAGTGGA